GGAAAAAAAAAAAGAAACAAACCAAAAAACAGACTCTTAACTCTAGAGAACAAACTGATGGTTACCAGAGGGGAGGTCAGTGCGGGAATAGGTAAAATAGGTGAAGGGGATTAAGCACACTTACTGAGGAACGTCTAGAATTGTTGAATCACTGTATTGTATACTTGAAACTAACTAAACACTCTATATTAACTATACTGAAATTGAAATTTAATAAAAAGTATTGATGGAAAGTAAAAAAAAAATAATTTTAATAGGAATGTGTGGAGGAACTAATATTAATTAAATGCCTACTATATACCAAGTACTATATTGGAATTTTACGTTTACCTCACTGACCCACACAACACTGTGAGGAAATACAGCTAAATTTTATAGCTAAAGAAGTAGAGATTCAATGATGTCCAAAAGGAGCACAGCCAGCAGGAGTTAAAGCCTGGATGGAATGCCATGGCTTCAAATCCTGTTATTGTCTCACTATACAATTTAAGACAGCATCAGAACATGGGGAAAGTTTTAATTAAAGCCATTAAAAAATTTTTAAGTAACCTTTACACCCAATGTGGGGCTCAAGAGATCCTGTGATCAAGAGTTGCACGCTCTACCTACTGAACTGGCCAGGCAACCCACAAAAAAATATCCGAACCACTGTTCAGTGCCTATAGTACCTAATATCTGAAATGGGGAATTAACTCTTCTCTAAAACATTTGTATTTTATGAAAGTATGCATATATGTAAATATTCCAATTCTCCACATGATAAAATTATAAAAAAGCCCTCTGTCTTACTAGAAAATTTCTGGGGGCACCTGGGTGGCTCAGTTGGTTAAGCGTCTGACTTCAGCTCAGGTCGTGATCTCACAGTTCGTGGGTTTGAGCCCCACGTCGGACTCTGGGCTGATAGCCCAGAGCCTGGAGCCTGCTTCAAATTCTGTGTCTCCCTCTCTCTCTCTGACCCTCCCTTGCTCTCACTCTGTCTCTCAAAAATAAATGAACGTTAAAAAAAAATTTACAAAAAAGAAAGTTTCTGTTAACCAGAATTCCCAGAGCTCTTTTTAAATTTAAGCCGTTATGAACAACGTATTTTATATTTTTTTCCTCTACATTCTTTATAGTGAGAGACATTGCACCTAACCATTTAGTGTTAGTTTATATCTGAGTCACATTTATATCATAAACATAGCATAACTTCAGTAAGAGATGTCTTAAATTCTCATGGAGATAGCTATGTTCATCAAAAGGGGATATGTCTCCACAAGTCAGTTCAGAATTGAGTATCTCGTGTTGTGAAATGATCACCTGTAAGATAAATCTGAGGAATTATAAATAGGGATTATAATTAGAATTTCTATGCTTCCTACCATCCTTAGAATTGATGTTCTGGATCACATAAAAGTAAAATTTTCATAAATTAAAAAAGTGACTCAAGATCACTTTTTAAAAAATAAAACCAGTAAGTGACTTCTGATCATTTATAAATGGAATCAATAGATTGAAAGGCCACAGGAAAATTGACAACCATCAATGAATGCAAAGACATAGCTGAGTAAAGTTACAGAACTCCAAAGATAAAGAAAGAAGATTAAAAGCAGGGAACCGAAAAGAGTGTTATTGTTCCAGGGTTAAGATGAAATTTTTCACCATTTATCACAGATATTCATCCATAGCCGAGGAACTCTTTAGGTTTTCCCTTGTGTTTGTAGGAGATCCTGAGTTTCAAATCCCACCCATAGCCCTACCTCTAAACTTGGAGTCAGAGGAACCAAGTCCCGGCCAGGCTCTGCCACTCGCTATTCATCGTTGAGCAAGTCACTTCTCTCTGAGTTCTCTCATTTGTTAAAGCATTTAATACAACAACAACAACAATAATAATAACATATCCACTATCAGTTTTATGAGAATGAGATAGAAGCGAGAAAGTGCCCAATACAGTAACCTGACACAGGTGTGGGTCCATAGAAATATTGATTTCATCTCAAATGTCATACTCTATAAAGACTTTCCTCCACTTTTCACATGGGAAAACAGAAGTTCAGAGGGAAGACTTGTCATTTTAAAGTGAAGATATTTAAATTTTTTAATTTTTTTATTTGAGGGGGGAGGGGCAGAGGCCCACGACCCTGGGATCATGACCTGAGCCAAAACTGAGAGTTGGACACTCAACCAACTGAGCCACCCAGACACCCCTGAGTCAAGATATTTTAAGTTCACTCCCTGTTACATATCACTAGACGCTTGCCTAATCTCTTCATGGCTGCCTGCATCTCCTGGTTCCTCAGAGTATAGATCATGGGATTGAGCATGGGGGTCATGACCGTGTAGCTGATGGACACAGCCTTGTCCATGGGGAAGGGGGTGAAGGGCCGGGCATAGATATAGATACAGGGAATGAAGATCATAGACACCACAATGATGTGGGTGGTGCAGGTAGAAGCTGCCTTCTTCCTCGCCTGCTCTGAATGGGACCTCAACATCACCAGGATGACTGTGTAAGAAATCAGAAGGAGAAGGAACCAGATGAGGACCAGCATTCCACTGTTGGAGATCATGAGGAACTCCAGAAGGGAGGTGTCAGTGCAGGCAAGTCTCAGCACTTGTGGGATGTCACAGTAGAAGTTATCCAGAACATTGGGACCACAAAAAGGCAAGGGGAGCATCAAAGCCAGCTGGACAATGGAGTGAACAAATCCCCCTAACCAAGCAGCCACCACTAGCCCCACACAGAGCTGAGTGTTCATGATGGTGACATAGTGGAGGGGCCGGGAGATGGCTATGTAGCGGTCATAAGCCATCACTGAGAGAAAGAAGACAGTCCCACCTCCCAAGAGGTGAAAGAAGAAGATCTGAGTCATGCAGCCCTGGTAGGAGATGGTCTTGACCTCATGAAGGAAGTCCACCAGCATATTTGGAGAAGTGACAGTGGAATAACAGAGGTCTATGACAGCCAGGTTTCGGAGCAGAAAATACATGGGCATGTGGAGCCGGCAGTCAAAAGTCACTGTGACCATGATAAGGAGGTTTCCCACAACGGTGGTGACATAGACAAATAGGAACACCAGGAACAGGAATTTCTCAAGGTCCCGGGTCTGTGAGAATCCTAAGAGGATAAACTCTGACACCCTTGTGATATTCTGTGCTTCCATGGGCTCTTCCCCACATGCCTAAGGGAAAACTGTGCAAAACAAAAATTATGAAAATTCCATTGTTTTCCTTTGGAGAGTCAGGAACTGGTTGATCAAAGTCACTGTTGAATATATTTCAAGATGGAGTTTAGGGGAGCCTTCCATGGAGATAAATACATTTTCAAGGCTCTCACAGACTTATCTCCCTAACCACACCCTACAATGTATTACAGACATTTATGGATCTTTTCCCCTTTGTATCACTGTCCTCATCCATGGGTTTCAAGTCTGATTCACACCAGATGTGCCCAATGCCTTGTGAACTACAGGCTCCCCAAATACAATGAATCAATGAATGAATGAATAAACATATCAGCAAATACCTGTGACCACAAACGTCATCTACCCGGATGCATAAATCTTGAGAGGATATAAAAACTAATGATTTTAGATAAACACATAGATGCTTTTTCCTGGCAGGGATTTGAAGAGCTGCATGATTCACTGCTGAAGGAAGAGAGGTGTGGATTAGAAGAGATTGTCATGTCCTAATTCGGAAACAAATGTAAAGCAAACAAGCAGATGATCTTGGCTGAAGCTGGGCTGGGATGATTGGCACTTCTCAAACTTTTCCACATAAAAACTCCTCTAATGGTATTTGTTGCCATGGGGCCATCTGTGGGGGTAATTCAAATCAGCCCAGGACAAATGCAAAAATTCCTTGAACTCTCAAGCTTTATATTTTAACACTTACGTAACTTTCTATTATACACATATCTCTAGACAATTTTTGAGAGGCTTTTTAAAATTTAAGTATTGTGGCTTGTAAACTTTGATTGCTAAGGCCAAGGTGTTATAGAAAATATAAAGTAAAGAAGAAATCAATTTCTTTAGTTCGGTAAGTGAAAGTTCCAGAAGGACATTCACTTGAAAAATAAACTGAGTTCTTTACTATTAAAACCCATTCACTTGAGTTACATTTTTCTAAAATTGTTTTCTCTAATCGTTCCGGAAAATTTGCCCTGAGGCCCCACCCTGTGAAGCTAATAGAACAGAACAAGATTTCTCCTCCCTGGTTCCCACCTAATATATGGGAAGGACAGCAGCAATTGCACTGAGGTACTTTTCACAGGGAATTGAATGAATATGTGTGAAAAGATTTCTACTAGCAAATATGAAACAGAATTATCTCTGAAATTATCTGTGAGGTATTACAGTATTGAAAATACTGTCATGTTTATATTATCTAAAACTCACATTTGTCCCCAATATTTGTGTAAAAGCTGTGTTCCAGGAAGATTCACTCTGTTTATTCTGTGGCTTCACCAACTTCCAGCATAAAACTATTTGAAAAATGTCCCTATGGATAACTAAGAACCCCTGTAAGCCTTTTGGTGGGAAATGATGTGATGAGACAGAGTTAAAATAGGCTTATCCCAGCACACTAGGGATAAGCCCCGAGACAGGCGAAAGTGGAGCTGGCACTCCAGGGGTGTTGTCAGAGCAACCCCAACAGAGGATCATATGTCTTTGTCTCTGGCTTTGTGTCCTTGCTCTACCACATGGTGTCAAGGTCAATCTGGGTGGGCAGCAGTTTAAATGGCCTGGTTTGACCTCTCTGAGAAAGTTCCTGACCTCCTAACTTTTTACCCCAATCCCAACCCTCCCACCTGATCATGGATTCCAAAATGCCAACAGCACAGTTTTATTATCCTTGTTTTTATCTTTATCCCTATTAAGATTTATGCCCCATTAAGGCACTTTTATATCCCTTTATCAGTCAGAAATACACACTGTGTAACGTCAACTTCCTAAAAGACATTTTCCCTCTAGATCCAAACTTTCAAAAATTTTCCCTGGTTCTTCATTGCCTACAAGAAAGAATTCACACTTACGTGAGTTTTCAAGGGCTTCCACACAAACTGGCTCCTGCCTTTCTTTGCACACCCATCTGTCACTTAGCAGTAGTTGAGGTAGTAAACGTTTCTTGCACTCGTAGCAGGAATCGTCGTTGTAGTAGTAGACATTTACTGCGTGTTTACTATGTGCTAAGCACTATGCTAAGAATTTCATAAACATTAGTCTGTTTAATTCTCATATAATCTTTGTATGCTTATAAAATACAGTAAATTCTATTAATTATCCCCACTTTACAGATGGGTAAACTAAGGCTTCAAGTTGGTAAATAGTTTGCAGCAGGTCACACAGAGTGAGTAGCAGAGCTCTGCTACTCTGGGACTCTGACCCAGGTCTGATTAGTCCCAGAATCTGCACTCCTAACTACTATTCTCTTCCTACTTGCTCCCTGATGAGAACCCTTGGCTTCAACCAAACTGATCTCCTCTTCAGTTCCTTAGGCATCAGGGCATTTCATCAGGCCAGTGCGCCACCTGGATTTCCTTCCCATCTTCACCTATCTGAATCTCACCTTTCCTTCAAGGCCCAAGAGTAATTAGCCAATCCATAACATTATCATGGACTAGTATTTTTCCATGAGGATGGTTCTATTTTCTCGCTTGTGTTTGTAATTTCAGTGCAAGTCTGATATGTCGAGTGCTACACAGTTCCTTAGGGTGCACATAGCCTTTCTCATAGATGGTTCCCAAAAGAATGCTTGGCGGCTTGATGGTGGGCGGAGTGCTGGCATGGGCCCCGAGCACTGTGGGAGGTGAGAAGAGAGGGAGTAGCCATCGAATGAAAGAGTTCAGTTCAAGGGAATTTGAAAGGAACCCAAAATCCTAATTCCCAGCATCGCCACATTTACAAAAGCATCATCTTAGCATGGCCAGCATGCTTAGCACAAACTCATAAGAATCTTTGGAAATGATTCTTCCACTTACATGCAAAGAGAATAGATTTAGATGGAAAATAAAATTAAACAAACAAACAAACAAACAAACAAATAAATAAATAAATAAAGAGATGGATCCCAGACACTTTTCTGTTGTTGCTCAACCTTGTTTCCCATCCATCTTGCTCTTAGGAAATCCATCCACACGGGACTGAAAGAGAGGAGGGGAGGGAGAAAAATCAATTCCAAAAATGGCGGTGAATCTAGTCTGGGGTCATCTTTGAAGTATTAATAGGTTTATTAACACAAGATTTAGGAGAAAGGAGGATAGAGGTATAGCAATAGAGAGGGAATGGAAACTCAGAGTGGGTGGAAGAGGGGATTTAAAGGGAAACATTAGAGGGTGGGAAGTGTGAGATAAAGACCTGGTGTGTTTTCTTCTAGGTGTGGGAAGAAGCTGGAGCATGTGTGTGGGAGATGGGGGAGAAACCAGCTGTGTCTATATTCTGCTCTCCCTCCCACCCTCTGTCCTAAATTCTACACAACACATAAGCTAGTACAGACCAAAGTCATAGTTCCAGATAAAATCAACTGTTCCCCAAATCCCTTTGCCCCAACATTCTTGCCCCACGCTTTCCCTCCATCCCATGCTTGTCTTACAATAGACTTTGCGGGAGCCTTCTCAGTGCTGACTTGTCCATGGGAAGGACACTGGGGCCATCACCTACCTTCAGCCCAAAGTGGCCAAGGGGACTTAGAGCCTCCACCCTCCAGGTCACACTTCTCCCACAGCTCCATTCTTCTCTTGGCCTATCTCAGACCAAGAACACACAGAGGATTGGCCTAATTAAGGGAAGGGACATTCCTCAGGGTACGAAACTTGGGCTTAATTCATGCAGTGAAGCTGGGCTGGGGCTGTTGAGGGCAAGAGCAATGGGAGTTATTAAAAAGTGTGTGAACTGTTGCATCAGATGCACATTATCACTGAGAAACTGTCTTGGGACCCAACGCTCTGGGGGCGCTGATCATAGGACCACAATGAAGAGGATTAAGAGCCCTTTCAGGAAATGAATTCCCAGGGAGGTTTATAAGAACGAAAGCCTTTCAGGTCAGCACCATGGGCAGTGCAAGGCCTCCACCCTCTGCTACCACCACTGTAACTGAAAAAGTGAACTCTATTCTAGGACACGGTGCAGGTCAGGGCTTTGGTAAACTCCAAAGCCTTTTTTCACGTGTCCAACTGTTAAGGTATCTCTCACCCCAGTCTCTGATCTTCTGTCCTCACAGCCAGCGTGACCTTCTCAAAAACAACTTGGCTAAGTTTACCCTCAAGATATCACTCACATGCCATAAAATTCACCAATTTAAAGTGCACAGCCCAGTGGGTTTTCCCATATTCACAGGTTTGTGTAACCATCACCAGCCACTATCTAACTCCAGGACACTTTCCTCACTCTGAAAGCAACCTTCTACACAGCCTGTTCTCTCCCTAGGTCCTGGCAACCACTAATCACTAATCTACTTTTTGTCCCTGCAGATTTGCCTATTTTGGACATTTCATATAAATGGAGTCATAGAATATGCAGTCTTCTTTCTTTTGGCTTCTTCCTCTGAGCACAATGTTTCCAAGGTTCACCCATGTTGTGTTAGTACTGCACTCCTCTTTACGATTAAATAATACTCCACTTGTGCACATGCCACTTTTGTTTACCACTAGTCAGCTTGTGGACACTTGGCTTGTTTCTAATTTTTGCTATTATGAATAATGCTGCTATTATATAACATTTGTACACATGTTTTTGTGTGGACATATGTTTTCAATTATCTTGAATATATACCTGGGAGTTGAACTACTGGGTCATATGATAACTCTATGTTTAACCTTTTAAGGAACTGCCGGTGTGTCTTCCAGCAGCTACACCATCTTCTATTCCCACCAGCAGGGTACAAGCAGGGATAATTTTTCCACCAACATTTCTTATTATCTGTCTTTCTATTATAACCATCCTAGTGGGAATAAAGTATTTCATAGTGGTTTTGTTTTAATTTTAATTCCCGTATAGTTAACATTCAGTGTTATATTAGTTTCAAGTGTACAATGTAGTGATTCAACAATTCCATACATCACCCAGTGCTCATCACAAGTGCACTCCTGGGGCACATGGGTGGCTCAGTCAGTTAAGTGTCTGACTCTTGGTTTTGGCTCAGGTCCTGATCTCACAGTTCATAA